GGTGGTTCGGCCCGTTTCGCCTAAGACATCCTCGAAACTCTGAGCCCCGAGATGCCGTGCGAGAGGTGGTCCGGCCAGTTTCGCCTGAGACATTCTCGCAATTCTGGGCTCCGAGATGCAGCTTGCGAGGTGGTCCGGCCCGTTTCGCCTGAGACATCCTCGCAATTCTGGGCCCCGAGTTGCAGCGCAAGAGGTGGTCCGGCCCGTTTCGCCTGAGACATCCTCGCAACTCTGGGCTCCGAGATTCCGCTTGCGAGGTGGTCGGGCCCGTCTCGCCTGAGACATCCTCGCAACTCTGACCTCGGAGATGCCGTGCGCAAGGTGGTCCGGCCCGTTTCGTACAAGACATTCTCGCAACTCTGAGTTCCCAGATGCCGCGCAAGAGGTGGTCCAGCCTGGGGGCCCAGAAGACCACATGTGTGATATCCCCCTCTGGACCCTGGGAGCCCCAGGAGGCCCCAGAGAGCTTCAGGAGGCCGCAGGACGCCCAGGACAGGCCCCAGGGGTCCCCAGGAGATTCTCAGGAGGCTCCCAGGAGGCCCCAGGAGGCTCCTTATCAGAACGTGTCAAGTTAATACACATCCGGTGTCGATTCGTTGATTTTTCCTGCTCCCATTTTGGGGAGCCCCGACGGCCACATGTTAGATATCCCCCCCTGAGAGCCCCAAGAGGCTTCAGGAAGCCCCAGGTGGGGTCCAGGGGGCCACAGGAGGCCCAGGAGGAAGCCCCAGGAGGTCCCCAGGAGGCCCTAGTAGGCCCCAGGAGGCGCCGCGCTCGAGGTGGTCCGGCCTGTTTCGCCTGAGACTTCCTCGCAGCACGCTTCGCCCGAGACATCGTCGCAACTCTAGGGTCCGAGATGCCGCGCGTGAGGTGGTCCAGCCCGTTACGCTGGAGACATCCTCGCAACTCTGGGCTCCGAGATGCCCTGCGCGAGGTGGTCCGGCCCATCTCGCCTGAGACATCAACGCAACTCTGAGCCCCGAGATGCCGCCCAAGAGGTGGTCCAGCCCGTTTCACTTGAGACATCCTCGCGCTTTTGCATTCCGAGATGCCGCGCGAGAGGTGGTCCGGCCCGTTTCGTCTGAGACGTCCTCGAAACTCTGAGCTCTGAGATGCCGCGCGCGAGGTGGTCTGGCCCGTTTCGCCTGAGACATCCTCGAAACTCTAAGCTCTGAGCTGCCGCGCAAGAGGTGGTCCGGCCCATTTCGCCTGAGACATCCTCGCAATTCTGACCTCGGAGATGCCGCGCGCGACGTGGTCCAGCCCGTTTCGCCTGAGACATCCTCGCAGCCAATTGTGAGCTCTGAGATGCCCTGCGCGAGGTGGTCGGGCCCGTCTCGCCTGAGACATCCTCGCAACTCTGAGCCCCGAGATGCCGTGCGCAAGGTGGTCCGGCCCGTTTCGTACAAGACATTCTCGCAATTCTGAGCTCCCAGATGCCGCGCAAGAGGTGGTCCAGCCTGGGGGCCCAGAAGACCACATGTTACATGTTACATATCCCCCCTGGGACCCTGGGAGCCCCAGCAGGCCCCAGAGAGCTTCAGGAGGCCGCAGGACGCCCAGGACAGGCCCCAGGGGTCCCCAGGAGATTCTCAGGAGGCTCCCAGGAAGCCCCAGGAGGCCCCTTATCAGAACGTGCCAACTTAATACACATCCGTTTTTTTCCTCCGCAATCCCAGAGGGCAGGACCAAGCACACTTTCGTGCACGACGCAGGCCCAGCCAGCAAGCTACACGCCAGCTGGGGGCAGTGCAAATAAACTCACACGACGAAAAACTGCCACGAGCAGCGCCTCCAGCAAGCGAGCACACGGCAACTGGACGACAACTGCGCAGTTAAGCTTCACAGTGGCCTCAGCCACCGCTCCCACGCTAGCTGGGCAAATTAATCATATTCACACGACGAAGTATCTTGCGGGCGCACGAGCGGAGCCTCGTCCTCCTCATGGGCGAGTCGCTCACGCACCCGCTGCAGCTCCGAAGCGCCCCCAGACCCGCCTCCCCCACTCCCCGCCCCAGAGCGAAGGAACTGAGCCGTCTCCTCATCCGCAGAAAATTCGGAGTAATACACATCCGCTGTCGATTCGTTGATTTTTCCTGCTCTTGTGCCCCCCCCATTTTGGGGAGCCCCGACGGCCACATGTTAGATATCCCCCCTGGGAGCCCCAAGAGGCTTCAGGAAGCCCCAGGTGGGGTCCAAGAGGCCACAGGATGAGAGGACACCGAGTCAGGAACTGCCAGGGGGCTTCACACGACGGCAACCCCAGAGCCCACTCGAAATGATCAAGCGGACCCAAGCCGCAGAGCACAGAACTCTGCAGAAAACTATTTTCACAATCCCTCACTCCAGATACGCCTGGATTCGCGGGATATTCGCAGAGAAACTCGCTCGCGCCAGTTTGACCGATCATATTGCGGTCGCCCTGGGCGCATTCTTCAAATGCGCCAGACCCGCCATCAAAATGGGCAGAGTCTGAGGCCGAGCTGGACGGGCTTACATCGCGAAAAGAAGCAGCTCACTTCTTCTTCCAGCCTCCGTGCTGGCGCCCGTGCTGTCCCCAGGAGGCCCCAGGAGGCCCCAGGTGGCCCCTGCAACTCGGAGCTCTGAGACGCGGCGCTCGAGGTGGTCTGGCCTGTTTCGCCTGAGACTTCCTCGCAGCACGTTTCGCCCGAGACATCGTCGCAACTCTGGGGTTCTAGACGCCGCGCGCGAGGTGGTCCAGCCCGTGACGCTGGAGACATCCTCGCAACTCTGGGCTCCGAGATGCCGTTCGGGATGAAGAGGAGGTGGAGGAGGAGGAGGAGGAGGAGGAGGCATGTTCTACCATGCCATGCCAGCCCGCACTGGACGGGCACGTAATCGACCTTGGAAACCGCAGTTGGTGTAACAACCCTGTTTGGAGATACTGCGCTCTGGCTATAATTAACATTGTGGCCCCGAGCTGAAACCATATGTTTTCACGTGTCAAGGCCACCCAGGCAGGTATCTAACATGGTGGCCCCGAATTGGAATCAAGTGCTCTTACGTTTGTTGGCCACCCACGGAGGTGTATCTAACATGTAGTTGCCTGGCAGCCCCCAGCGTGGGGGCCCACAAGAGCGCGGAATTCATATATCCACACCAGGTGTGTAACAACATGACACAATTTCTTCGGCTGGTCATTGTCCAGATTTCCATTGGCGGTATCTAACATGGTGGTCCCGAGCTGGAACCACGTGTTTTCACGTGTGCAGGCCTCCCAGAAAGGTGTTAACATGCTGGCCCCGAGCTGGAACCACGTGTTTTCACGTGTGCAGGCCGCCAAGACATGGTGGCCCCGTTCTGGAACTACGTGTTTTCACATGTCCAGATCCCCCAGAGGGCTGACTAACATGGTGGTCCCAAGCTGCAGCCACGTGTTTTCACGTGTCCAGGCCACCCAGGGGGAGATCTCACATGGTGGTCCCGAGCTGGGACCATGTGTTTTGACGTGTCCAGGCCACCCAGGGGGTATCTAACATGTTGGCCCCGAGCTGGAGCCACGGGAGGTGGAGGTCGAAGGGATACTACTGGATGGAGAGGGAGGGGGAGGTGGGGTCATGGATCCGAACGCAGGGGGCAGGGAGGATACGAATGAGGAGATGAGGAGTATGGCGAAGAGCACGGGCAGGAGCAGGATAAGAATGAGGGGGACGAGGCGGTGCACGAGGAGGTGCACGAGAAGTCGGCGGATCACGGCGACGAGGACGGTGATGAGCTGGAGGTGAGGAGGGAGAATAAGAGGCACATCCTGGCATGGAGGGAGACGAGATTCGCGGGGATACTCATGCTGGTGATTATGATGGTGATGAGTACGATGTTGATTATGATGCCGATGCTGATGCTGATGATGGTGATGATGCTGATGCTGATGCTGACGACGATGATGACGGTGTTGGTGATTGTGATGAGGATGTTGATGATGCGGATGGTGACGTTTCTGATGATGGTTATGTTGATGATGACGATGGCGATGATGATGATGCTGATGATGCTGATGCTGGTGCTGCTGATGATGTTGATGATGCTGCTGATGCTGATGATGATGTAGCTGACGATACTGATGGTGATGGTGATGCTTATGTTGTTTATGTTGTTGATGTTGAGGATACTTATAATGGCGATGATGCTTATGATGACGATGCTGTTCTGGCGACGATGGTGTTCTGGTGTTGATGATGGGTCTGATGATGGCGATTATGCTGATGCTTGTGATGTTTATGCTCTTGCTGATGATGATGATGATGATGATGGTGATGATGATGATGATGATTATGTTGTTGATCATGATGATGATGCTGATGATGCTGATGCTGGTGATCATGCTGATGATGATGATGACGATGGTGACGATGCCGATGACGAGGATGATGGTGATGATGATGATGATGATGATGGTGATGATGATGATGATGATGATACTGGTGATGATGATGATGATGATTATGATGATGATGATGACGCTGATGATTGTGATGATGGTGATGCTGATGATGATGCTGATGCTGATTGTTTTGATGATGCTGCTGATGATGATGACGATATATATGGTAGCTGTTACGTAGATGGTCTATGCTAGATGTGGCTGTTGATGATGATGATGCTGATGAGGCTGAGGATGATGATTATGACGATGATGAGGATGATGATAATGATGATGATGATGATGATGATGATGACGATGCTGATGATGCCGGTGATGCTGATGGCGATGATGAGGATGATGGTGATGATGATGCTGCTGCTGGTGATGATGATGGTGCTGCTGATGATTGTGTTGATGATGCTGCTGATGATGACGGTCGAGATGGTATATGTTACGTAGATGGTCTATGCTAGATGTGGTTGTTGATGATGCTGATGATCATGGTGATGGTGATGGTGATGATGATGGTGGTGGTGTTCTTGGTGATGATGATGATGAGAAGCAGGAGGAGGAGAAGGAGGAGAAGGAAGAGGAGGAGGTGGAGGAGAAGAAGAAGAAGACGGGTGAGCGCGTGGCCACTTGGACACCTCAAGTGGCGCCCTTGCTCCCCCCCTCCTCCGCACCGCCCGATTCTGTCGCCGAGGGCTGGCAGAAGCAGGCGTCGCAGCTGCAGACCTTCAAGAACGCAACCGCTGGCAGCGTCGCCACCAGATCCGCCGCGCCACAGAACGCCACGCAGGCGGGCGCCAGGGAGCAGGGCGATCCAGGGAAGCCTGCGATTTGTTTCTCGGTAAGGGCTGTGGCCCGGTGCCAAGTTCACGCAGGGCCGGCAGATTCATGTGCGATACATAACGAGGTCGCGGAGGGCCAGCGGATTAAACTTGAAGGATGTCCCTAGCGAGATGCTGGTTTTTGAATATTTTTCCGACAGATGAACCACAAGGTATAGTGAGCAGTTTCGTTTGTTTGAAGTTCCGGTAGTAAAACACAAACGAGGTAAAGTGATCATCTTCGTTTCATGCGGAAGCCTCGAGCGAAACGATTTTGTAGAGTTTGTTGAGGATTTCTCGAGCGAATCGCTTGTTTCGTCCTACCGGGGCTCGAATCCCTTGCGTTTTCCTTATGTCCTTGTAGATTGCGCCAGCGAGCGTCCCACAGCGGGACAAGCGTGAAAACTCTGCTTCCCAGTGCCCCAGAGCGGGACACGCGGGACAACACATGGGATCCTAGAGCCTTGCGGACGCGCGCGGGTTTCGAGCCGGGCGGGACAATTGTGAAACCACGCGGGTTCGGGACACGCATGACAACACTTGGGTTCTGAATTCCCCAAGCGAGACGAGCGTGAAAACACAGGGTTCTTAACGCCCCAGACCCAGGCAAGCGTGAAAACACTAGGTTCTTAACGGTCCAGAGCGAGATGAGCCCGAAAACATATGGATTCCAAAGGCCCCAGAGCGGGACAAGCGTGAACACACGTGGGTTCCTAACGGTCCAGAGCGAGACAAGCGCGACAATATATTGGTTCTTACTGCCATTAAGCAGGATCGGCGTGAAAGCACTGGGTTCCTAACGCCCCAGAGGGCCAAGTGTGAAATCACGTGGGTTCCTGACGCCCCAGAGAGGGACAAGCGTGAACACACATGGGTTCCTAACGCCTTAGGGCGGGAAATGCGTGAAAGCACACGCATGGGTTCCTAACGCCCCACAGTGGGACAAGCGTGAAAACAAGTGGGTTCCCAACGCGCCAGAGCAGGACAAGGGTAAACACACATGGTTCCTAACGCCCCAGGGCGGGATAAGCGTGAACACATGGGTTCCTAGCGCCCTAGAGCAGGACAAGCGTGACAGCACATGGGTTCCTGACGCCCCTGAGCGGGACGGCGTATGCCCGTCTCCCCTCAGCGTCTCCCGTGGCGCGTTCATACGCTTGAAGGTATTTGAAGTCCTAGCGCCCCCACTGTCCTGTTTTTCCTTTTCTCCCCTCCTCCGCTTGTGACATACAGCATGCTCCGCAGCCCTTTGGGCTTCCGGGGCAATCGCGTGCCCAATAACTGCCTTACCGTTTGTACTCTTGGGGAGTGCTCTAAAGATATCCTCTCGCACATGTGATTACTGCGTCTCCCATGCCAGCTGACAGTGGTAGCCGGAGCGTGGACGAGGCCACAGGGGAGCATGATGCTGATGGTAACCTGCAGGAGCTAACTACTGAGGGTGCGAGCGCGCGTCAGAATCAGTCCGCAGCACGCGAATTTCATGATGTACCCCCTCCAGGTATTGAATATTTCTACGGTGAGGGTCCCTGGACACCACCCGAGCAGACCGCAGCCGGCCAAGCCGAGATCTGGTGGGATCAGGGCTGGAGAGACTTCCAATGGCCGCCTTTTCAGTGGAATCACAGGTGGTCATGGGGCAGATGGGACAGCTCGACAACACCACGGAACAAGGACTACTCCGCTCCGCCGCCCTGGCTGGGAATAGAGGACCTGAATATGTACATCTCGAACATATCTTCCTGGCGGAGAAGGACAGCCTTTCGCAGAGAGGTTCAGGCGGGGCGAGTCTTAGAGACCTTTCCAGTGGAACTCCAGGCCAAGTTCCAGGCCATACGGTCTAGGTTGGACCAGAGCGACGGCACCACGAAGCTGATCTCATACTTGGGCTTTCTGGCCGGACAAAGGCCAGGAGACAAAGAGAGGGAGGCACATGACGAAGCGATGTTTGATTTCTCCATTCAGAAAGGAGAAAGTCTGACGGATTTCATAGTTCGCAGAGACAACCAGCTGGCCACAGCAGGAAGAATGGGGTTGGGTGAATTTACGGGCGATGCTCAACGGCCGCCGAGACTTCCAGTCAGTGCGAGCTGCGATCCTGGAGTTGGACGTCTCAGAGAAGCAGGTTCTTCCGAAGTCGACAACGGCTCAGAGCTCTTCGAAGCCGGCTTTCGCTGTCACGGAGGAGCCGGCCGAGGGCGAAATCGAGCAAGATGACGAGACGTGCACTCCGATCTTCGAGACAGAGTTCGAGGAGGACGGGCTCAATGCCATTTTGGTTTCGCTTGACTCCCTGGACCTGGCCTGGGATGAGATAGTAAACACTTTCGCCGAAGTGACTTCGGAAATTCGCCGCCGGACTTGGCAAGGAGCTAGGGCCCAGAAAGGCAACAAGAAGGTGGATCGCGATGTCTTTGGCCGTCGCCGAGATCCTAAGGGAGCTCAGAAGGGGCAGAACTTCCGCAGAGTCGCTCGAGACTTCGTCAAGCGCCGGCCTCGGTGCTCCAACTGCGGAGGCAATGGGCGTTGGACAGAGGATTGCAAGAGGTCGTTTAGAAGCACGGCCGACAGAATCAAGGAGAAGCCTCTGCAGGGGCCTCGTATTACCGGGCGCAGATAAGACGGGCTGTTCGTGGGCCAACTTCGACGATGTCTTGAACTTCGCCGAGCTTTCGAGTGTGGCCGTTCCCTCTCGCGACGAGATCACACTCACCAGCGCGGGCAGCTCAGCTTTGGTTGATGCGGCCGCTGGACAAGTATTGGTGGGATCTCCAGATCTGGAGCGAATGGTCGAGGCTTTCAAGAAGCGCGGCTACAATATCCATGTCAACAAGGGCGAGACCAACCTCCCGGCCGCGAACGGAGTTGGCGGCAAGTCTACTCCCGTCGGCAGGACTTTCGTTCCAGCTTCTCTGATCGGATGCGCTATCATCGAGTTCCTGATCTTAGATCACTTCTGCCCCGCGCGGTTGCCAGCGAGGTATTCTGATTTTTTTCACGCCGTAGTTGACTTACGGCGAGATGTTCTGTCAGTGGGAGAGGGGGAGAATCGCGAAGAGATTGCCATGCTCAGGTTTCCCTCAGGTCATCGCGCAGTGGACTTGATTGGACGCGATCCGTCTGACTTCAAGGTGCGCCCCGACCTGGCGAAGCGCTTTCCAAACTTCAAGGGCTCGAACGTCGTGTATTTTGGAAAGCCAGTGGAGCTGGGCGACTGCAGGTCTTTGCAGGGTGACATCCTTCGTCGAGTGCACGTTCATCTTCGAGAGACTTGGTTTGATATCGCAGAGTGCTTGGACCTGCCGGTCTCCTCGCCTGATCTGCTCAGCCTGGCGACGACGACCTGCCCGCTCGTGGGCGACGAGGCCAGTCGGACCTGCGTCTACGAGAGGGCCGACCTCGACTCGCACCAGCCGCTGGGCTGCTGGGTCGGGCACACGGACCTCAGGATTCGCGAGGGCCGCAGTGGGGGGGGTATAGGGGTAGGATCAGCCAGTCTCTTTCAGCGTCAGTTGGTTCCTTTCAGTATATGTTAGTTTTTTCTTTATACATGTCATGTTTAAGTTCTTCTTGTTCGCATTTGTTTGTGCGTTGTTTTTTTTGTTCTTCCGGTGTTTGTTTTCTTTCTTTCTTTATTTGTTCCCTCTCTCTCCCTTTCTTTGTTTCCCCCCCCCCTCTCTCTCTCTCTCTCTCTCTCTCTCTCTCTCTCTCTCTCTCTCTCTCTCTCTCTCTCTTTTTTTTCTCTATCTCTCTCTCTCTCTCTCTCTCTCTCTCTCTCTCTCTCTCTCTCCTTCTTCTTCTTATTCTTCTTCTTATTCCCCCCCCTCTCTCTCTGTCTAGTCCAGGCCTCAGGTGGCCGGGCCAGGTCAGCGGGCCCAGGGCAGTCAGACACCCAGGGTCAGTACGCCCGAGCCCCCCTCTGTAGCGCCCGGCTCAAACCAGCAGCTCAGTGATCTTCCCAGCGCGCAGTCGGCCCATCATGGTGGTTCAGAAGTCCCAGCCGAAGCGCGACCGAGTTCGCGCCGCTCGGACCCTTCGCGCCTTCAGGATGCGCGTGGGCTACGTCGATCCAGACGGGGATTTTGGCGATTCTGGAGAACGAGGACAGCGAGATATATGCCAACTGGGACATGCCTCTGGACCCCTGGGTCGACGGGGCGCTGAAGGGCGTCGACCTCGCGGATCGAGATGGCGCTCTTCCTGAAGGTCCAGTTCATTCTGGCTTCCGCAGCGCGGGCGTGGGGGCGCTGGGCGATCAAGATGCTCATGGTGCTGCGCCTTGCTGCGGACTCCAGGCTTCTCTCAAGCTGGTTCCGAGGATCAGCGTGCTTCGTCTGGGCGTGAAATAGGAAAAGGGCGAGCCCAACCGGCACTTCTGCCCGCGCCTTCCAGGGTTCCATTGCCGCGGAGACAACCCGCGTGGATACTGGATCAGGCGCCTGACCTGCTACCAGCGCATCGACTTCGCGAAGTGCACGGCGTCCGTCACCACGAGGCCGTCGCCGACGGCTCGAAAGTCAGGACTGCCAGCCCCGACAGCGCCTCCGGTCCAGGACAGGAGCGGTCAGCGCAGCAGTGCTATCGAGCGCGGGGAGAGCGATTTGGACAAGCTTGGCTGTGTTCTGCTAGAGGAGCGCCAGGAGAGGGCCATGCAGATGGACGGTCTTGTCGAGTTGGCGCAGACACTGGCCGGGGCGGTGAATGCGTCGCCCTGGGCAGCCAGCTCGAGCAACGATTGAGTTCGGAGCAGGATCACGCCGGGCGAACCAAGGCGCTGAAGACATTCCGGTCGGCTTCGGCAGACTCGAGGCACAGCTCTGCGCCTCCAGACGCTGGCGGGGGAAGCTTGAGCCAAGCGAGAACGGAAACATCATCTTCGTCACATCCATCCTTCTCCACCTCTTTTCATTTGATGACCGACAATCCGAAGCGTCGAGGGATCCTCGGAAGGCTTCCCGCGTCCTCCGAC